GCCACACAGACATGGGTAGACTGAGGTTATCGCCCCACCGTCATGAATGCTGGTCAGATACACCACCCTCCCTCCTTTTGTGATGTTAGGCTCTCTTTCGTTTAGTGGTTGATTGTAAATAATGGTCTCTAGTCTACTGTCTATTTTTTTGTACACCTTGTTGGAATTAACGTTCTCTACTAGCTCCAACATTACAAGCAATCCAGACAACTTCGCCAGATAATATATCCACATAGCATATCACACTGATTTTAAGTAAACGAATGGTTTAATTTGTAAGGTGAGTCAGTTAATGGGTAGTTTGGAAATAGGAAGGACAGGGAGCTGGAACGAGGAGAAAGTGAAAAAAAAGAGTTGAAATTATGTTAAAAATTAATGAGTAAAGCGATAAGTTGGTAAGCAGGCAAGGTGTTTGGATGTTAATGAATTAGGGAAATAAAAATTTGCTAAAATGTTAATACTTAAACAAGAAGGAACTCACAATGATACACGGTGTTTGAGTTCCTTGTAGTTGACAGTAGTTGAACAGCATCGACAGGCTTTTCAATTTGTCTGTCTACTAGAAATAAAAACTGAAACTGGTTTGAAGATATGAAAATAATAATCGGAATTTAAATTTAGAGAAAAGTCACGGGTAACACTTCAAAGGCGTAACCTATTACTGTTAGTAGGAGCAGGGGGATTCGTCTGTCATTTCATGATACATGTATGGGTGGTAATGAGAACACAATGTGTTCATAGTCTATAATTCGTTTCCGAGGTTCATCTAAATATTTGGTGGACCATAAAAGAGTGCCTGGGGACTTTGTGTGAGTTCCGGGAATAGTCGGTATATCTCTTTAGAGTCTAGCAACAGCATGACTAGTTTCTTGAACTTAGTGATTGTGTCACAAATACGGATAGTAATTGGTAACCTGTTCCACAGTAGACTGTATCGTATTACAAAGAAATTACAACGCAGTAATTTCTTGTGTTTTGCCGTTAATAGTGTATATGCGTTGTTTCTAAGTCTGTAAGCAGTGTCGTGGTTCATAGTTGGGCGGTATTTTACGAACGGAAGACCATTTATTAGTTTAAAGAGGAGCATTAGGTTGTTTTTGAGACGACGGCGCCATAGAGGTTCTAGGGAAAGATGCTTGCATCTTTCTGTGTAGTTGAGGTTATGGCTCAATCCGAGCAGTCGCCGGATTTTTTTGAAAGCTAAATGCTAATCATAACATCCATAGTAACACAAGATTACTGTTGCAAGGCGAATCCTAAAACTAGATAATCCAGAGATAGCAGATTTTGGACACCTGTTCCAAGGGGTCCGCAACGAATGTCGAAATAAAAGTCCATGATTATAACCGATTCAGTCCAAATACCACTGTTTTAACAGTTCACATGTAACTGCGGAGAAAGTTACTTAGGTAGTACAGATCGCCGATTGGAGGACAGGATAGGGGAACATATTCCGAAATGGTTAATCAAATCCATGATTCATCAACCTAGCCCGTCATCTCAAGATCGATCAAGAAACCCAGCCTCGTCCATTGCAAAACATCTAATGATGAGTGGTCATCAAAGTGACCCAAAATCAGCCTTTAGAGTTGTGACATGTCATCAAAACCCACACACACTCAAACTACACGATGCTATCTTGATTGGTCAGAAAAGTCCAACTTTATGTGCTCAAAAACAGCTGTATTTTGACCTTTGTTTACCATGGTTCTAGTAAGTAAATGTCATGCTAAATAAGAAATTTTGACCTTATCTTCAAAACCGTATTTACAAAAATAACATGTTGCTTGTATTTGACTGACGAGAAAGCACAAAATGGTACTGTCTCACAAAATATGTCTTCTCATTTCTCTGTTCAAATTTATCAAAGGGAACCACTATATATTAAATGACAAGCATAAACATTACCAAACATGACTTAAAAATGGCAAAAATTCTGTTTACCTTTGGGAAATTACGACTCAAAAACTTACTCAGCAGCAAGATATACACTGATAGGAAAGTCTAGATTCGTCTGTTTTCCACTATCATTTACGCTGATCACATAGCCTTCTTGATCCAGCTCCAAGATGTACACTATGACTAAGTCAGATATTAGAGTCAACAAAATCAACAAACTTTTCTTACAGCTGTTGCTATCTGCAACAGTAAGTATATTACGTCTTAACACAAGGCTGCTGAATCTACTCCTCCTCACAACAAGCTAACCCTAACCAATCCTATGAACATTCACGGGACTATTGCATTTTATCGATTCTCCAACCTCCTTCTTCATTACAACACTTAGCTCCTCATTCCCTCATTTAAGTGCGAGTAATCTCTTCATCAAAATCGGCTGTCTCTTTACTCTTTTCAAACCCTAGCAGCTGGCTGGCTACAGAATGTGGAGCAAACTAAAGTTGACTGACAACTCCTTAAGCGGACATTCAAGGAAGTACATTTGAGAATTAATTTATCGATGATATAGATGAGGCTATTCGGTTTGCTATAAATTTCAGGTCGCATGCAATATCTACTGGTTGAATGCATAAACATATCACCCCATGTGGATACTGAATTTTACAAAATAACAAATATATTTTCTCATCTTTCCCATCAATCATTGGAAGGTTTTTATCTACCAAATATATTTCACGGAACGCCGCTTCAGAGCCACAAAGATATAATTGTAGAATCTATTTTGAATGCTTTGTTTTTGGAAAATTCCTCCATGTATATATATTTGTGTTATGATCTGACTGACTCTTTCTGTTCGATATTTTGGTACTTCATTTGATCCTGTTTTGGGATTTTATCATTTGTATCTTGTTATTATTTCTATATTATTTACTTATGTGGAAGTTTCTATGTTTCCTTCTGAACTATATATGTGTTGTTTAAAATTGATACTTAATATGGCTACAGCCATTTTTGGATTGGATACTCTAGCAGCAGCTCGTTGCAACTAACTGGAAGCACTTATTCTACCAGTATCGGAACTTATTGTTGTGATTAGAAACTCGAAGGTGTATTATTGTTTTGGTAATTGTCTGAATTTCCTTTTTTGAATAAAAATAGAACCGTTCTTTCCCAGAATTTATATTTTTGGACTTGGACTGGGCGAGACACGTGTGAACCTACACCTTTCGGTTTCAGAGCTCACTGCGAGAGTAATAAATATTTCTACAATAATAAGCTAGTCAAAACAAAAGAATTATATGGATGTGTCCAACAGGCTCGAATTCCGACCACGAGGACAACACACTTGACTTTATTTTTACGATCAAATGTGACCCCCTCGCAATACATATCGGTAGGGAATTTCTTATCATTTTATTGAATATATTTTCCTCTCCAACAGCTATACCGTCAAATCTTTAAACCCAACACATCGACTACAGATTCTATATATGAATACTCTTCCAAGAATTATGCATGCCGATATTTTGTTTTGACGATCAGATACAAAACCCGATAAAACCTAATGACGTTTACTGGAAGGCCAAAAGCGTTGATACTGACAGTCTAATAGTGATCATTTTTCATGCCCAAGCACTCCAAAAGTGCGAAGTTTTGAGCGGCTTGAATTCCATCTGATGCCTTTATCCATTTAGGACAAGAATCACTTTAGTAATGAAGTCATAGTTATCGACATCCAGTCGGCTGTGTGTATAGTAGCTAGGAATTTATTTCAGTTTCATACTCGTTTGGTTTGTGTTTTTTTCATCCTACGGCATATATGTACCAAAAAAATGAAAGTTCTAGTATTCATTAAATTTATGTTTTTCGTTCATTGCATCTGGCTGTGTTGCGCTAGAAAGTTTCATGACAGATTTCAGTAGTATTAGCTCTGTTCGCAGCTTGAGGTTGGTGTATATGATTTGGATTCGACGTTTTTGTCTATCGTCACTTTTTGTGACAAGTCACCTTTTGTCTCACTTTGTGGAAATCTGTCCTAATAACTGGCGTAGAAATGTAGGCTTTAACCTATTGTAATAAATCAGTCTAAAATTGGTTGTAGAGTGTATCCACAGAAAAAATTACACAGTTCGAAGAAAACTTGCAATCCACACTTATTTTTGGAGATACCAGAGTTTGTAGATGAGAAACCATCCATGAAATACTTCGCAGATAACACCGAATCATTTTTAAAGATTCAGCGACTGATTCTTTAACTTCGATGTCCACTGAAAACACCAGTTGACGATACAGAAAACCAAGCCAAAAATACCATCCAGAAATGAGACTTTCACTGATTTCTGAAGGAGATCTGCCTGTTGTTGCTTTCTCTTCAGACTAATTTTATACTCAAATGCCATGTCCGTCAAGAACAAACCAATTTCAAAATAATCATTCGGAGTAAAATCATCTTACAGAGTTATAACACCAATATCTGTCGAATCTCGGTCAACAAATTTCGAACTCATCTCAACGTAATAAAAGTCTGCTAAGCAGTCAAGATTTCAAAATTCACAACAAAAAATTAACAATTATTTTATGCGATGCCTATAACTTTAGGTATTACCAGACTTCTAAAGACTGCTTTAAACATTAGAAAGCAATCCTAGCCGACACAGGTCACCGGGAACATCCGCTAGTTTGGAGTCTTTCCGTTCTACAGGTTGCATTAGTTCACTCATCATACAGCGATTTCTTGGTCATTTAGTCGGTTATCGCTGTACTCAAAAGTACACTTCCCACCAAAGATTTTGTTTCAAGCTCCAAATTTCAATTTGTTTGCTTGCAGCATCCAGCAAGTTGGAATGTTGTACAGTAACCTTTATATAGAAGACATGTATAGATAGTTTTCACTGGTTGTAACGAAATTTCGAGTGAATATTAAGCTCTTATTTCCAGTATTCGCCCGGTAAACGAAGTGAAAAGTGCTCGGAAACATTTGACATTGGATCCTTGAATAGCTCTATGAATGTGCATGACTAGACAAAAGCTCGACTATTCAAGGTTGATGAAACCAGAAGGACAGGGCGGGGTTTGTGAACTTTCTTATTGTGCTCTTTCAGATGTCAGCAAGAGGTGGAGATCGGTTGACTTCTTTAATGGCTAATGTACGGGATCTTCTTTTACAAAGGAAATATAACAATTGGCATAGATATGCTGACCAGTGCTCTAAACGGACTCAAAAACCTGCTTTTCTTCCCAATGGCATAAATGACAAAATATCACATAATGATTACTTTGTTCGAGATGAACGACGCAAAGTTAAAAGACCTATTGATATTTATGTTTATGGCCCTAAAAGGCTTGAAGCTGGGTCGGAGTGAGTCGGTATTCATTTTATCACCTACGTCTTTAATATATCACTAGTTATTTGGGAAATCTAGCCAACAATAATGATATTTGCAATTCGAACTCTAGGAACTAAAAATCATGTGCGACATAAGCGTTTAATGAGGTAGCTAGATCACAGCTACGTAAAATTTGGTCAGAAATCAATTGGTCCTAATGCTTATCGATATTATACTGGCTAACTTTAGTCCTGATTTTTACTATCTCTCAAGATTTTGTCAGTCATCGTTCTAAGTTTATGGGGGGTCTCATTACAGCTATCCATCTTACCACCAACTGTATGCATCCCCTTTCGATCTGTCCCTTGTCTCGGAACAGCTCCACCTCATGTTACGATTTTAGATGCGTATTGAAACCATGAGTGTACGTTGGTAGTAAATGTTGGTTACGGTAAAGCCACTATAAACTGGAGACGCTAAGCGACCTTACAGCCAAGCAGAAAATACTGTCATTTATAAAGCAATCAACAACTAAGAGCACTAAAATAGTTGCCAGTAATAGTCTTCATCTTAATAAGTACCCCCACATGTCTAATTATTCCTTTTAGTGGGAGGAAAGGGTCAAGTTTACGTATTAAAAGTCAGCCTATTACTATGATTTAGGGTTGTAACCCCACAGTTTTTGCCACATATCTAAGCTAGCTGTGATGCTAAATGATTAGGGTTAGTTAGTATAAATTAGACTGGAGTTTTGAATTTGGTTTTTTAAACCAGGGTTTTTGATCGTGAACTGATATTAGCAATGATAGATTGACTTTTTACTACTGTTTACGAACTTATGTTTGAGATTTAGTTAAAGAGTTGGTAGGGGAATATTATGTAGCTTCACTAAACACTTGACAACGGATTAAGTCACAACACGTATTTAAACATAAGATTTGCCTCGGGAGCAGTTGTTTTTTAATTTAGCTAGAGTACGTTAAGTTTACTATACAGTTTTATAACAAGAATTTCGGTGAGACTAATTTATGAATGGTTGGTAGATATACCAGAGTGACCTTGTGTATATTCATCTACTTACAAGGGTTATAAATTAGTGCTAGGAATTAGGAATAGTCTTTAAGTCTGCATCTAAGCGTAGGGATGAGTTGGAGGTTTTCATCACGAACTGACATATATCATGCCAAAATTTCATAATCATATGGATAGGTAAATCCTGCACCGAAATCCAAAACTTGTCTCAAACATTCCTGGTTCATACACAAATTGTAGTCTCACGGAAATTTCTATTAATTTCAAGTATTATAAGGACCATCATTAGAACTAAACCGTAAACAGCTTTACGTATGTTCGCTTTGTAACTTATTACATTTCGAAGCTTCTCCATTGGATGCACTACATACAGTGAAAATTTTTTCACCCAGATCTATTTTGAAATCTATAGTGTGTTTTCGTGACAGGATATTTTTTGGTTGGATCGGAAATAATCGCCTCACTTTAGTCCTGATAAATTCATTGGGTAAGTGACAATTGTCTCTAGATATCTAGTGGGTTCGTAGGCTAGTATACTAACTTAAGTATCACCTAAATAGTTACTATTCAAAACTATCGCGTACGTGTACAATACACTCCCGTCAAACGAAAAAGATATGATCTGTAGTGCTGAAGATTTTAAATTTTATTTTATTTGTGTCGTTCTGCGATAAGGTAAGAACTGTGAGACTAATTGTTCCGTAAACATTTCAATTTTTAGGGTATATTGTGGTCAGCGATGGATTGGTGAATTAAATACAAGCCAGCAGTAGTGAAACTATTGATTGTACGAAAAATAAATTCATCTCGGTCGACTTTATTGTTTGAAGATCAATACATCTGATGCGTATCTCACCGTCACCATGATAACTAATGTGTTCTTGAAATTTATACTGCTAACGGACAGCTGTCTACCGTATTATAAACTTTACTCTCAAACTACCACACACTTATGTTGATCAACCCCATTCTTTGTTAGTTTAAGTTTGCTCTCAGTGACTAATGTGTCACAAGCAAATAGGTAAAATTATATCTTATTTCATTTTTCAGATCTAAACATTCGAACGTTCTATCAAAGTCATCTGAGATTGTCCCTGGAGACAAGTTTAACTGGGATAAACCAGTAGAATTGAAATGAACTAAATCATTTGGTTTCTATCTCCAAATATTCAATATTTGAATGTTAAGTGTATTTTCTTGTTTTAGACTTCGTCTACGACGTATCATATAACCCCTTGTTATTTTTAGTTACGTGGGAAATATATCCATTTCATAGTCTGGTTTCGCTTCTTGCCTTTAATCTCATTTTTAATAGTTTTCACGACATAAGTTTGAAGTTTATTGATCTCCCTTGTTGACAAAGTTATCTCACGTAACTCAGAATGCTAATCACTTGTCATTTTCTCTAAATATTTATATTGGCCGGAAAATGATTTTAAATGGCAATTATTGAGGAATTGTTTATTCTACTTATACAGTTATGTAAACTATTTCAGATACTAATAATAATCTTCACAGCTGATAGTTCAATGGCATTTCGAGAAATGCCACCTAAAGTATCCAACCATCGGTATCCATCACACTAATACCTCAGTAGGAATTCTTATATCACTACATGGTTCAGGATAACAATCAATAACTGTATAGACTAATGCCTCAGCTAACCTTGCTGCCTCCATCCTGTGTTCAACCTATCACCACACTGGACAAGTTAGCGCTCTAAGTAGTTGATGGCTGGCCACTAATCCAGTGCATCTGTATATGATATTCATTAGAGTAGTCTCAGACTTTGTTATTCTTTAGCTGACCTAATAAAATTTTCGACTCAAATTAATTTATTGCGATTTTTGAGCAGTAATCATGGTTTCTGGATACTCAAAGAAAACATATCCAAACTAGTTTCTAGGGATACTACCCCTAACTCAGGTCTCATATGGTCGAAAAATCAAAATTTCGGAAATGCGAAAAATCATTATCCGACATAAGACAAAGGGTAATAGAAGTGTTCAGGCCTATTTGCATCAAGCTGGGCTACCTCTTCTACTATCCTACGTCATATATGTGTACACTATATGCTATGCTGCTATATAGAGCTGAAGGTTTCCTACGAGACCAGAGGTTCGATTTGAACATTGTGGATGGTTTGGCATTGATTTGGCAAGCGTTGCTAACAGTCCATATACAAAATTGGTTAGCAGAGCGACCAATTTCACTAATATAGGTGGTTGTTTTGCAACATTGCCGCGGGCCATTGTCATACGGGTGCTGTATTTCATATCACAATTGCTAATAATAATGAGTTTGACAGTCATGTAGGCAGGATGGGTCAAGTTGGCCTGTTTATGTAGTGCATATTGATTGACGCGATCATGGATCGGAAATAACCAGTATACACGTACTTGTGTATATAAATGTGAATGATCCATCAGGGTGTTAGGTTGCCAAATATTCTAAGCCTAACCTTAACATCGCTTAATCATTCGTCCTACAGAACGCGAGCTATATTTCGAAAACACTTGTCTTCAAAAACATTTAGCCTGCGCATCACTTTACTTCCATAGACTGTTTCACAGCCATAAAGTGGAGCGGAGTGAGTTGCTACACAATAAACTCGTTTTTTTTGGTTGGCAAACAGATATCTCGCCTATGACCCAAGTGGTGGTAAATACCATCTGAACTTCTTGAGTCCGTGCTAAGATTTCATCATGCACCAATCCACTAGAGTCGATAGAACTCCGAAGATACGTAAGGTAGTTAACACACAACTACTCCACTCCCTGTTATTAGTTCGGGCCTTGGCGCAAACCAGACCAGAAATAATACTTAGCATTTAGAGAGAAAGAAATGCATCAAAAATATACTGGCATTGTCGTTCATCGCAGAAAACTACATTTTCACCAAACAGAAATATAGTATCTGTGTTTTCCAAGTCAACAAGTGAACCTCCTTGTTGGAAGTTAATCCCAAAGGTCAGACGATGGAAGTGTTATCCCTAAAAGGATATCTAAGACAAAGTTAGATACGTATGATAAAAGTGAACAACCCTGGCAAATACAACTACAGTTTGATGATTTTGATGACAGTTTTCCATAAACTCTGACTCGATCAGTAGCCTCTAAGTAACGAGTCTGTACCAGGTCAATGTACTTCTTTAGTCCGACTTCCTATGACAGACATCACCACTGAATCCGCTGGTCAGTAGAATCGAACAATTCCTTTCTTTAGGTTAAGGAATTCGGTTTCGAAAATTGTTTCAGAATCTAGTGCAGGGCTTACATTTGGTTATATTCACATCCATTTCTGAAGCTAACCGGGTTTACCGGAATGCACAAACCCTATTTAAACATTGAAGGATCATTGAGGCTAATATTTCAGGCGCTATATTAGTCAAACTGATTCCTCTGCAACCATCGCGAGAGTTTTGTCCTCATAAACTGAATCAAGTAGCAGTTGATGTCCAACCAGATGCGATTATGTCTAATTCCCAAATTCTAACAATATCTCAGTCAGGCGCTAAAACTAAACCACCAGTTTTAAAGACCTCTAGAATAAGCCTCCAGTGCTTTCAGTTTTTCCCCATCTCTCTCTTTTCTTCTCGATAACTGCTACTGCCAGTGTTCAGTTCATAAAAGTTTGTTAGTTTACGTTTGAGTTGTCGCTCTGCAAGTGTGATGTGATGTTTCAGAGCATCTTTCAACGCACTTGTTTCCACCAAAACACTAGTCTTTCCCAAATTTCAATTTAATATGTTAGTGGATTTCATTATTGTATTTTTAGCTACTACCCCTCTTTGGTTTAGGATGAACTGTTTCTCTACAATCGATTAGGTGCCCAACTTATTTTTCCCTGAATGCATCGTTTCTCTCTTTGAATTGAAACCTAAGGGGTCTTCTTGCTATGACATTCCTACTTCCAATAAAACGCATAGAAATGCATACTCATTAGGATATGATCCGAGTCCAATAGAGTGGCAGTCTCCTATCGAGCTTCTCCGACGATATCCGATGGTGATTATGATCTATTTGTGTCCATCACTGCGTTGATATCAACAGTCAATATATAAAACAGTGTCTTTTTTAGGCTGAGTAGAACTAGTCTATTGGTTTGGTGTTCTACATATATTTTGAGAGTCTACCATGACACTGGGTTGTGATATTTTGTTGGACATAAAAATCGGTGGCTAAATTTCAACCGGTGCCTTATTTGTTTCCATTTGATATTCAGATGATTTTTAGGTAATTTTCATTGTGTACTAGTATTACCCTAAAAATCAAGGATGTCAAAACTTTAGGTTTGACTCGTTAACGGTTCATGGTTATGCATAAACTAAGACGGGATAGTCATCTTAGTTTTCAAAAGTTCTGCAGTAGATTCATGTAGTTGATAGAATCTATTTTCACTGTGACACTAGACTGTCAAGTTCTTAGTATTCGTTGAATCCAATTGTTCAGGCTGCTACTATGACTTCTTATTCGCGTAATGTTTAACTAAATTTTGTCTATAGCTTATTTATACAAACAAAACACATATCATAGGTTTTTCCCCACGCTGAAAAATTTTAACATACAAATATCGAAATTAGGTTAACTAACGAGAGCGGTAATTTAGTTCGTAGGCCATGTTTGTAAACGGCTTCTCTAGGTCAAACAGCATTCGTTTTAAATAACAGACATTTCCTGGTCGATTAGCTTTTATAAATTCAGGTACCAACAAATCATTTTTTTAGTAATGCCTTATGCGTAAAATAAATTATCTAGTTTGAATTTCGAAAACGTCGAAGTTTAAAGTGAAAAACTGAAGTAACTAATCATGAAAAACAAAGTAATATAATCATTAGTAATCAGGACTTCAAATCCGTGGGATATTTCCACATTGCAGTATATGTCAGCAAGCTCTGTGGCTTGTTATATCCTCAATCTAACAACTGGGTTTCGTCGAGGTTTATTTGCAAACACTGAATGAAACCTTCAGAAAAGTCATACGTTTGAGAGAGTTGAAATCAACACCCAGCTTGCTACACTGATGTCATAAGTTTATTAAGTCATCAGCTAGTATCTGTTCCTGTTTAGTAAATAGTGAGATAACGGGTTATGGTTACGCCTTGCGAATGAATTTTGACAAGCGCAGAAATTATATCAGGGGTGACTCCATGAATTTGAAACTGAACATTCGAAGTCACATGGTTATAATAGTGTGGGATTTGCGAACAGTAAACGAAAACATCAATATCTAACATTCCTGACATTGATTTGTGACACTAGTTTATTAAGCAGTTAATTTTATTTTGTCTAAATCATTAGATAACAATGGATGGTTAATTCTACACAATATGCTGTTAGAACATGAATACCATGACATTTACCAATGAATGTGAAATACAAACTGAAGTTGGAAGAAACTTAAGAGAACGCAGAAATTACTCTTATCCCTATATTTTTCTTGTCACATTTTCAAAGGTGGTTACTTTTTTCAAAAAGGAAGTAAAATTTAGTGGTCATTGAGTCATTTCATGTTGGTATTTGATTTTCTTTTGCTCACAAAATCCTCCGGTAATTACTCTAAATGTTATTCAGACTCCAAAAAAAGTCTGGGAACATTCTATCTAACCAATATACTCTCTAAAAACTAGAAACTTAACGGATTATGTGTATGTAACATGATTGAATAATTGCTTACCCTATTATTAAATTTACTGTGCTTCTAGAAGTTTGACGAGGCTAAGGATTTCCAGTGTAAACCTACAAATATTGTTGTTTTCCGTACATAGGTAAACTTTAAAGTAAGCCTTCTTTTCTCCACACTTTATCGTTCTATCCTTGTGGGAGAATTTCGAAGATCTAGAGAACGGTTTCAAAATCATTATCAAGACTTTGAGTATCAAAAACTACAAATCTAGTTATTTCAAGGTATATTCGGAAATTTGCATTCTCTTACTGCTTCAATTTTGCTTTGGAAACTTTAATTTAAGTGATTTTAGTGTGTTTAACATTGAAGATGATGGAAGATGATCAACACTCACTTCCAAAGAAATATATATGGCAGTCAAACGTAAAGTTAACAGTTGATGATCAGGTACACAGTGTAGTTATTAAGGGTCATAAATGACAAATTTTCTGAACGTTTAATAAGAAGTAAGGC